GCCACCTCGTGGACGCGAGTCTCCTCCTCCAGAGCCTTCTTCAGCTCCGTCACCTCCTGTTCCCTCTTGGACCTTTTGTTGGGGGAAGGATGACAGGGACAGACTCTCAGGATAGAGGGTGGCAGGTCTTTGGGGGAGCTGGCTGAGGCTCCTTTCTTGCTCCCTCTGAGATCTGGGTGGTGATGCTGTGCGGGCATGAGGCTCTGAATGTGAACTCCTACTCGTCATGCAAAGCCCTATTCAAAAGGCCCTCCTCAGGGAAGTCTTTCTGGACCGTCTCCCACAGACCTGGTTTTGGGGCCTTCATTTATTATTCCCCATGCCGTGTCACTGCCTTAAAGCACCTGTTGCCCTGGACTGGGTCTGTCTCTGTGCCCAAGCTGGCACAGAGCTGGTGCAGGCAAAGACCTGGCTCTCCGTCCTCCTCCCACACCCTGCCTAGCCAGGGCGGGCAGCGCCAACACCTGCCCTCACCGGAGCTCCTGCTGCGCGTTGGTGGAGTCCAGCGTGTCCTCCAGCTCACCACGGAGCGCCTCCAGCTCCTCGCCCAGGTCGCGGCGCTGCTTCTCGGCCTTGGCCCTGGCTGCGCGCTCGGCCTCCAGGTCCTCCTGGGCCTCTGCCAGGCCTGCCTGCGCCTCCCGCAGGGACTTGAGCAGCTGGGCTCGCGCTCCGCCCTCCTCCTCTGCCCTGGAGGTGACAAGGACCATGGGGGTGGCACAGGGGCAGGCAGAGGTGAGGGATGGTTTCTGGGGCCGAGAGGCCAGATTTCTGGGTTTGGGGAGTGGCCAGTCCCAGGTTCAGACCCCGGCTCTGCCATGGGCATGTGACTCAGTCCTTGGGCCTCAGTTATCCCCGCTGTGAGGTGGGAATGTCACCCATGGTAATCACAGGTGAGGCTGGCAGAGTCCCCACTCGTCTCTTGGAATGCTCCCACCAGAGGACGAAACTGGGGCTCGAGGGGGAGAGCACTGTCTAGGCCCGTGACCCACTAGAGGGTCCCTCGTGGCCCCGGCAGCACCCCTGCAGAACTCTGCATCGGGGACAGTACTTGGGGGTTCAACACTCAGTGCCACCCAGGCAGGGCTTGCTGTCCCTGTCCCTGCCTGCATGGCACCTCGGAAGCACAGGTTCCTGTGCTGAAGGAGGCTCTGAGGATGGGGCTGCTTCAGGCTCAGCGACACAGAACGGGAGAGGGATGTTGGGAGCTTGCTTCTTCTACCTTTGGAACTGCCCCAGGCCCAGCCCCGCCTAGACAGAGCAGCGCGGTGGAGTGGAGTGGGGTTGGGAAGAGGCAGAGGGTGGAGTGACAGCTGAGAGGGCCCCCATCTCCTTTCAGGGTGATGGAAACGTGTGGGACTGGGATGGAGAGGTGCTTGCGCCACACTGCAGAGTGCGCTTTGGAGTGGCGGATGCTGTGCGGATTCCACCACAAAACAAAACAAGCAAGAGTAATACAAGTAGGAGCCAAAACACCCGGTGTCCAGGGAGGTGTGGGGTGCGTGCTTTCCCGCACTAACCCTAGGGTAGCTTCTGCAATTGTCCCTGTTTTACAGAGGAAGAACCAAGGCTAGACAGGTGAGGGTCCAGAGAGCGGAGGAGCTGGAGAGCAGAGAGCAGAGGAGCCTCGAGGGAGCACGTTCTTACCCCCC